TTTTGACACATAACATTTTTTTGTGTCTAATAATACTGATGATCTTGTATATGTTTTTTTACAATTATTTAGTAAAGGGACAAAAATTTTGCCAATAAAAGCCACAAATAACATTGAACAGAGTTACAATTTTGGATATAGCTTCCTTGTTTCCTCTTTTAATAGCCTATAGCAAAAAACATGTAAAGATATTTTTCTAACAGAAATAAATAGAGTCAAAGTGCAAATTATAAACTCTCATAACTTCGAAATTTTTATAAATAGAACTTTTTTTAATTTTTTTTCATGTTTCTGATGTGGTACCTTACCTTTTCTTTGAGCCTCAGTTCTGGCACACTTTGTATATTAAAAGTCATAAAAAAAATTATTTTATTTTAATCAGGCAATAAATAAAAATATTAGAGCGCCTATGGTTTTTAAAAATCATATAAAATTATTATAATATGAAATTTAACACATTTTTTTTTAAATAAACACATTTTTGTGATTTTTTGTTTTATTAAATTTAAATTCCTAGAAAAAACTAATCACAAGGTGTTTTGTTGATTTTTTGTAAATAAAAAAAAATATTTAACATTTTCCAATTTATACAATCATATTAAAATAGGGGGAAAAAATCAAATATTTTGGTATTTTATTTAAAATCTGTTGCAAGTTTGCTAAGCAACAATTAACTGCCCTACATATTTTGTGTTATTCCTGCATTTTCGCACAGATATTACAGTCCTTCGCGCACTATTTATCAAAAGTGACACTTCTATTTGTGAATATTTCGGTTCCTAAACGATTGTCGTGTCGCATTTATCATCCATACCACTTGTGAGAGACCAAAGCGATTTATTTTTTGCGTGTTTGTTGAATCTGCATCTGGTATGGATGAAAATCGCTAATAAAACACTTGTTGTACCTATTTATAGCCTAGTTGAGGATAAAAAAATAATGTATGAAACTCTTGTGATGTAGATTTCTCCCACACGCGTCTCGTGTTATTTTTAAAATGATAATTGAAGGGTTTCTCCAAACTGGAGAAAGTTGTAAAATAAGCCCTTAATTGCCTCCTTCAGAGAAATATCGTCTATTATACGACTCCCAGGTATGAAATTTCACCTACCTGTCGAATATTTGACCAAAACTGTCTTTGAAGCGTTAAAATTAACGGCAAAATATTTAGTTAACTAGGTTTTCAACAAGAACAAAAGTTAATCTAAAATTGGATTTGAGAGAAGTTGTGGTATCTATTTGAGAACTGATGATGAGTTATGATTATTCAGGGCGAATTCATCTCGGGGACTTTACAAGTTAAATAAAGTTGGTAGACTATATCAAATATTATTGTGCTACCAACCGTAAAAAACTACTCATTTCAATTAAAAAAAAAAACAAAATGATTCAATATTTAGCGCAATTACTAAAACAAATTTTATTTATTGATTTATTACTAATGAAATAAAAATCATTTGTTGTATAAAAAATCAAACAATCCAATTAAAATTTGATGATACATCGTTGTTTTTAAGTAACGAAGTGGCGCCTTCATTAAGTTTGATCTTTCATTTTACAGCTAATTAGGTGCGTTATGTATACATTTTTACAACGTAAATATTTTTATTTACGTTTAGCTTATATTAATATTTAGACAAAAAGGTTTTAAATTTTATGTTCAATTAAATGGCATGTAATAATAATGAAACAAAAATAGATAAATGTGAGGATTCATTTAAAATCTAGTTTATTTTGTTAATTTGATAATTTTAATACTAGTACATTCTGAAAATTCCAATAATTGCAATCCTCAAAGTTCGACATTATTTTCAGATTTTGGTCCAGAACTTTGTCTGTGAAATTTTTATCAAAAAATAATCAAAAATAATAGTTGCTACTTTATGCCTGAAAGGTAAAACTTTTATTTGTGTCATTTAGTCATAAAAGTGTCATTTTTCTGACGTTTGTGGATAAAAAAATTGTAAAGTATTTGTTTGTAGATTTTAATAAAACTTTATAAATTATTCTTGGTAATTGAATTCCGAAGATTTTAGAAAAATTTCATTAAATACCTATTCTGAAATTTGTTAAATTTTAGAAGCGCTTAAGAAATTTTCCCTAACTTTTAAGAAAGTCATTTAATGAAATTTTAAAATTACTTACATGAAAATTTTAATAATTTTTAGTCAATATTTAAAATCCAGATTAATTTTGTTTGTTAAATCCAATAGGAATTTGAGTAAATTCTGCCAACTTTTATAAATTTGTATAATTTGCATTATTTTGACCAATTCTCTCAAAGATTTGAAAAGTTAAAAAATTCTAGTAAATTATCGTCACAAAAAAATCTGTACAATTTTATTTCATAATAATTTTTATAATTTTTATAACAGTTAACTAAAAACTTTAGAGAGATTGAGTAATTTTGATTTTTGTTAGACTTTCGAGAATTCTACAGAATTCTAGAAAATTTGTAGAGGAGAAAAGTCGTAATTTAGTAAAGTTTAATAAAAAAATTAGTAAACTTCAAAAACTGATTAATTTTCTAAAGTTTTTGGAAATAAAGCTTCATTTAAAAAATTGAGAAATATATAAATGAGTAAATTCGTTGAAATTAAAAAAATTGATAAACAACGTAACTCAAAAAATTGAACAATCTAAAGAAAATTCCTAGAAATTTTACGTTTTTAGATAATTTCTTTAAATTCTAAAATGCGATTTTTGAATTTTGAGAAGCTAGAAATTTTGGAAGTGATGAATTTGGTAATTTCTATTAACAATAAAAAAATTTGAGACAATGTTGTTTCTTTAAGAAAAAAAAATTATTTTAGTCAATTTTCAAAATTCAGAGTTATTTTGTTTGATAAATCAATAAGAATTTCAGCAAATTCTGTCAAATTTGTATAATTTGCATTATTTTGACCAATTCTCTCAAACATTTGAAAAGTTTTAGAGTGAATTCTGGTTAATTTTTTAAAAATGGTAGTAAATTATTTTCGCAAAAAAATCTCTAAATTTTATAATTCATAATAAATTTTATAATTTTTATAACAAAAACTTTGGTAAGATTGAGTAATTTTGATTTTTGTTAGACCTTCGAGAATTCTACAGAATTCTAGAAAATTTGTAGAGGAGAAAACTCGTAATTTAGTAAATTTTAATTAATAAAAAATTAGTATACTTTAAAAATTGATTAATTTTCTAAAGTTTTTGGAAATAAAGCTTTATTTAAAAAATTGAGAAATACATGAATTCGTTGAAATTTAAAAAGTTGTGAAATAACGTAACTCAAAACATTGAACAATCTGAATAAAATTCCTAGAAATTTTACGTTTTTAGATAATTTCTATAAATTCTAAAGTGCGATTTTTGAATTATGGAAATGATGAATTTTGGTAATTTGTATTAACAATTAAAAAATTTGAGACCATGTTGTTTCTTTAAGAAAAAAAACATTAGTAACTGAATAAAATGTAAAACACAAAATATTATTTGCGTATTTACAGTTAACAAGTATTTTTTATTTTAGTCAATATTAAAAATTCAGTTTTGTTTGTTAAATCAATAGGAATTTCAGCAAATTCT